AGAGTTTCCACGATCTTTATAGGCCATACACCTATCCAACAATAATGCTAGTGTAGCGGCCGCCTTTACCGATTAATAAAGGGACGCGAGAAAACTGTAGTGAAGCAACCACAAGTCTAACAAAATCAGGCTGGTCCGTTTATTTAAGGCTTGATAGACGATAACTTGATAAACACGAACTAAAGATTAACAACAGTTCGATCGAAATTCAACCATACTGACCGTCAAAAACTGTTAGGTTCCAACACAAAACACGAGCGTGTTCCTCCTTAAATTCTAGCCACATAAAGATTTTTGTCACGGTCCTAAAGCGGTTCAGAGTCCACGTGCGAATCCAAAATACCCGTATAAAGAGATCACGTGACGCAACAAAACTAAAGCTGAGAAGGCGTTACAGCCGTATAAAGAGATCACGTGACGTAAAAAAACTAAAGCTGAGAAGGCGTTACAGCTAGTAATGCTAAAACCATAACGGCTAAAAAATTAAATCTTATGTTAAGTCAAAGCAAGTATTAGCGTACTACATTTGATGTAGATCTCAAAGAAAACTGTCGTGGTCCTTTAAATTCCTAATGACATGTCCCCAGGGCATATTATTAATAGATGCTAATGACTTTGCATAGCAAGTAAAAAGATGCTGATTTATATCAGCGAGCCTGCAATGTGACATGAATACTGATCAGAGGATTTTTTGGAGCAACAGCTGTGACTTTAACACCTGAATGTGGATGTCCGCTATAACAACAATGCATTAGCGCAGTCAAACGATTGCACTGGAGGCTTATTACATTTAGGACTAAATGTTATTACATTTAGGACTTTATTGCATTTAGAACAAAGTGTTATTGCATTTAGGACTTTATTACATTTAGGACTTCAAAAAATGCTCGCTGTTTCAAGTCTTTTTGTGTCTTATATTCGTGCCTTTAAATGGTATTTTTTGTGTGAGATCTCTTGGACTGTCAAACGTTTATCAGCTAAATAGCGTAAAAAAGGTCGATTTTTTTCCCGTTTCACAGCATGGTGATAAGATTGACGAGAAAGAAAAGATAAAATGTCCAGAGGGATGGGAGTGGACTAGAAACTGGCAGGTCGATGACAATAGAGCTGTAGACGGCGAAGGTATCGTTCCGACTGAAATTTTTTATTACTTTTAACACTTGTGTACACTTTTAAAATCCTATAGCAATTACAAATTGAGAATCGAACGACAAGACCAAGACCGGTCATTTTAAACGTAAACACTCTGATGCACCCCTCCTCCTGAACAACGCTGTCCTTAAGGAACAACACTATGCTCAAATTTAAGGTATCTACAATTTTGTTCATTAAAAAATACCTGTTATCTCTTGGCCACTCTGCCCACTTGACGAACACAGGGCTAAATTACGATGCCAATTATAGTGCTTTGCAAATGGTTCTACTGTATGTACTGATCTGGCCGGACAGGTTTGTTCAATCTCAAAACAACGCAGTTTATGACCAAAGCAAATTGCAAATGGATTCAAGAAGGCTAATTTGTTTTCAACATGACTGCATTTGCAACATACGTGACGCATAAGTTAGTCAGTTGATATCTTTGCTTTACTTTAGGATGGGAGTATTCCGTTGATGTATCATACGGAGTGTATGGTGCCATTCAGAAGGCTTACCATTTGGTGAGGAGAAGGCGATGGGTCAGGGAGAGATTACTGAAGGATCCAAAGGCTGTTATCAAACAGGTAGGTCAAAAACTACTGTGTCTTGATCTGAGTTACAGTAATTAGGCTGTGCTCGTGTATGGAATATATAGAATCTCGTAAGCTTTGAAAGCAAGCTAAGCAGTCACCGTTAGCAAAAAAGTTAATTTGGTAAGCCTTACATTTAGATTAGAAGGTTGCATCCAATTTTCAAAACTTGGCGAGACTAACTTTTTCGGTTTTTGAGAATCTCACTGAAAACCATCAACATGGGGTATTTTCCAGCTTTAGGTCTTGTTTTCAGTCAGAAAAATTAAGGGTTTCTCAGTTCCACATGCTAAATGAGATTTATCAGGAATCATGAGAGAAATTTCGCGAGAGGGTTGTTCGCTTTAAAGGCTGCTATTGGATACTGGTGCATGGTAATTATAACATGCTTCCACATGACAAACGCACTTTTTCTTTTTTTAGAAAGAGCTTGAAGAGTTCGAAAAGGAAGGGTGGGAATATGCTCCAATTTTTACGGCCAAATTCCACCACAAAGAAAGGAAGATTGATTTCGTCAGGCGTCGGCGATGGCACCGAAGAATGGTTTCAAAGGGGGGAAAGGACGCCAAAGTGTCCATGCCTCCTGTGTGTCTTCTCGAGCTTGAGGACGAGGTGAGAATCTGGAGCTGTGTGAGTGCGATCGTATTTTTCATTGATGATTAAGATCAAAATCCAGAGAAAGCTTAATCTATAAACTAAGCAGCCAAATCAAAGTAGGGGTAAGATTCATAAAGGGCTGATGAAGATCAAAAATACGCCTAAATGAACCTGGTTGTTAACAGCCTTCTATGATGTGATTGGTAGAGAAAGCGGCAAGAGTTTCATGCATGTCACAAGACGTAGAAATAATATTATGGACAATGTAGGAAGTATGACCCAGTATAGCTGCTCTAAAAGCCAATGATTATTTTCTGCTGTTGAACTATTTTTACCAACTGGATGTCTGTTTTCTGACCTGATTTAAAACTCGAAAGACAAGTGTTCTCGCAATATTCTTTTATTTTAAACAGGAGGAGAGCAAAAGTTGTTTGAGGAATATTCCAAGAATGTTTGTCACTTTTGAAAGTAAGTTAAATGATTAATAGGTTTTTTATTCAACTATTTTTTATTTATCTATTATAGCTTTCTAATCCTGAAATAAAATGAAATCTGGCCAACATTGAGTGGTAAACCTCAGTTTCTTCAAAAATGAATAGGGCACGAACGAAAATCCAAGAATCATATGGGACCAACAACAGGCTATTTACACAAGAAGTATTCTTAAAGGACTCAGCAGCTCATCGAAAGAAAGCAAGTAGTTTGAATTTAGACTCATTTTGTTCGTGTTTTCAGAACCACACAAGTATCAGATGTGGGCCTACATCTATCAAGCACGTAACCTTCTCGCCATGGACGAAAGTGGGATGAATGGTAAAGGAAATATACGAATAGCTTTTTTAAACGTAGAGAATTTTCCATTTTATATGATTCAATGAGTCATTGACATTGACATATATATAAGCTTGATTCTTTTGTTTTCCTCAAACATTTTATATGATTCAATGAGTCATTGACATTGATATATATATGAGCTTGATTCTTTTGTTTTCCTCAAACATCAGATTCCTACGTCCGCGTGGCATTTTGCAAGCAAAGCGCTGTAACAGAGGTGCTGACCCAGACTTTATGTCCCACCTGGGACCAAACGCTCATATTTGATAATGTTGAAATCTATGAGAGTGTGGAGAATATCGCCAAGAGCCCACCAAGTGTAGTGGTAGAGGTTTTTGACAAGGACACAGTGGTAAGTTTAGATGTAATAAAAGTAATAAATAAAGTTGGGATTCCTAGAATCATATCAATGGTGAGAAATAGGTTTTTTTGTGCAGATATTTAGTTATAATATGAGGAGACTACTGAATTAAACTTTTATGCCGTTTGTAATGGTTTTGTTTGATAATTTGCCGAGAAAATCTTGAGGTTTGAAGTAGGTTGTGTGTGATAATTTTTTAAGATAAACACGCAGCGTTTTACTTCATCTCGAGGATTATAATGACAGAAGAAGCTTTTTTTTTGAGGAGCTCAGGCGAGGGGCATTTCACTGAGAAGTGCTTTTATTTATTTTTGAGTTTTTTATCCATCTTTAAATATATAATCGATGAGACATCTCGTGCTAAGCTTTCGCTTGTATATTGATGGCTGTTTCATGACATGCGCAGGGCAAAGATGGCTTTCTCGGCCGCTGTGTGATGTCACCTACGGTGCGTCTACATGGACACGAAACTCCTGAGCCGCAACTGCAGTGGTTCACCATCAAAAGAGGAGACGAGGAAGGAGGCGATATTTTAGCTGCTTGCGAACTTTTCCTTGTAAGAGTCTCATTTCTTTTTTGTGCTCCCCCGGCGTTCTCTTGCATTGCGCACAGTTACGTTTTTTTCAGGAGTGTCATCTGTTTATCTCTTTCGGAATTAGCTCTATGTTAACGAGCCAATGCTAAAATATGAAGCGGTTTCATCGCCAGTGTGATGTGGGGCTTCCAGGGAGGCTTACAGCATTGCTATGTGTTGGCACTCAATTACTAGAGCATAGACAGCTGAAGTACCCGAAAAATACTAGATGCTCACTTCTCAGGGGCGCGTGGACTTAGATTATAAAGTTGGTAATTAGGAGTCTCCAAGGTTTAATTGTTTGTCGTAAAACGTCCAGAAATGTCAGCCATTAGGCGTAAAAGTGAATCAATTTTAACAGTTAGCCTTAAAAACAGTTAAGTTTAAAAAAAGAAGGGTAAAAGTCCCTTTTAATAATTCGCAATAATTTATTTATATTTTAAAATTGCAGTGTAGGGAAGGAATCAGGAAAGGGATTTTACGAGGTATTTATCTCTTATTTTTAGGATGAAGATGCGGAGTTACCCTTCACCCCACCCATGAGAGGAGACTTGTATACCGTGCGAAGCGGTGTGCGCCCAAAGTTACAACGGTCAGCGATTGAGGTCAGCAATCGATGTTAGCGTCCCACTTTAATTTCAAGTTGTTATTTGAAAGAGAAATAATTTTGAAATATCCATAACTTGACTTAATCCCATTATTTATAGGAACACATTTTTATGTTACTCGACTTACTCTATCTCGCAAAAGCATCATAGGCTTGCAGAACTGTCGTCCTTTACCCACTCTCATTTACAGGTCTTGTGTTGGGGAGTGAGGAACATGAAAAAGTTTGAACTCACGAGCGTGACGTCACCAAGTATTGAGTTTGAGTGTGCTGGAGGTCTGGTGCAGTCTGACGTCATCAAGGATACGAAGAAGAACCCGAACTTTGAGAAACCTGTTTTGACAAGAATGATTGTGGTAATTACTACAACCTATCATGATCTTGAATGGGGAAACTTTGTGTTGTAATCTTGCTTGGGTTAGCTGTTGTCTCATATGTATAACAACCGATTTTCCGAAGAAAAAAATGTAAGGGAAGGTATTGAAGTATCTGGCATCAATTTATACCTTTTTGGGACAAGTACGTTGACCCTTTTCACAGTTTCGAAGCGTTTTGATATATCCTTTATACTAAAACGATGGAGAACACTGTATGAAAGAGAAGGTATTGAAGCATCCTGCACCAATTTATACCTTTTTGGGACAAGTACGTTGACTCTTTTCACAGTTTCGGAGCGTTTTGGTATATCCTTTATGCTAAAACGATGCGAGAACACTGTTTTTTGTTACTGAAAAAAAAAATAATACATTGTTTATTGAGAGAAGCAAAACAGGAGCTATTTGAAAACTGGTTATTTTGTAAACGCTGTCTTTGGCATCGAGAGCTGTTAAGCTTTTTCAAGAGTTTTGATCAGGAAGGTAAGCGAAATCGTATCAAAAAGTATGCGTTTTGAAATCGAAAATTGCATTGGTACATAATTCTTTTGAATTGCATTTGCGAGGAAAGAAGGAAATAACATGGTGAAAACGTTAGTGTGACTGAAAATATTTTTCTGTTATCAAAGTGATAGCAGGTCAGTAATTTTGTAAAGGTTCGAACGTGGGCGGGACCCTGCAGGTCGGTTTCAATTCAACATAATGCTTGACGTCAGCACTATCACGTTTACTAACTTTACACCGTCTATATGCGGTTCACAAATAAAAAACTTAGTTCCTTCATAAAAGCTTCTAAGCCAGTACTTTTATGATTTTTTTTGTTGACAGAATCTTCCCGTAGAAGAAATGTATACACCAGCACTTAACATCCGTGTCCGTGACAACCGCTCGTTTGGTCGTCGCCCAATCGTCGGCGTTCATTCAGTGAGATCCTTCCAGAAATACCGCTGTGCTACACCTCAAATCATTGATCAAACTGACTCTGGCCCTCGAGGACCACAAAAGAAAGGTGGGTTTGAACAGAAAATTGGTTCATGTTGATGAAGTGCGATGAAGTGCTTATGTGTTTAACATTAAGACAACAAGCTCCCTTTTGTAGTTGTCAAACTTGTTTCTTCAAGTTCCCTGAATGTTAACAATTAAGATGTCCTAATCACCTCGAGCATCGAAGACAACCATCCTACACGTCTAATCTTTGGGGTCTTGTGTTGAATAAAAAGGTTTCTTCTCTTCTTTAATCACAGGTAAGAATTATTTGCTTTGAAATCTGGACGGTATTTTTCTTACTGTTTTATCCTATGATTTTGTGTTTAGGGATCGCCGATAACGTTTCAACGAAAAGCGAAGAGGGCTCATATGTTGTCAATATCAAGGAATGGAAAAAGGTCAAGAAAAAGGTAAATAAATTTCAATCCATACATGAGTGAAAACGTACTATCCAGTTTCAAGAGTATAATCTCTTGGCAGTTTGGATAGGCTCCAACAATTGAGCTACCATCACCACTGCCTTTTGACCAATCGAAACTTGTTGTAAATAATCGGTGCTCACTGGTATAGCTAGAATTTCTTTTTTTTGAGGGGGGCGGGGGAGGGGACGCGGTTACGAACTGCACCCGTAATGCTAAGGGGTTAATACCACTACTCTTTCTCTTGTGTAAAAGCAAAGTCGGATTCACGCGACGAGAAGGACCAGTATCTGTATGGTATCTAGCATTGGAAAAGATCTATGTCGTACAGATTCTTCAGATTTACGCGTTCTCGCAAACCTAAATTGCAAGAATATTTCATAAAGAGAGGGGCACGGTACTCCATGGGTCCTACTAGTCACCCTGCCCAAGTGCTACGGTATTTGAAGTTCTTTGCGAGATCTTCTTTGCTTCATATTTTCTGTTTCAGAAAAAGAAAGAAGAAATCCCAGAGGAGTCCCTAGATTGGTGGTCGAAGTTTTTTGCCTCAATAGGGGATGAGGAGAAATGTGGAGAATTTCTCAACCAAGGATACGATAAGATGACGGTACTAAGT